GGGCTGCGGCGGGCGCTGCGGGCCTTCGAGGCGCAGGTGCTGGAGCGGGCGGCGGCGCGGGGGCTGCGGCGCCACTGGCGGCCGGCGGCGCCCGGGCTCCCAGAGGTGCTGCTGGAGGCGCTGCTGGAGCCGTACCTGGCCGGCCGGCTGGGCCCTGGCGAGCGGCGGCGCCTGGCGCGGCTCTGCGCCGAGTTGTGCTGCCGCTGCGCCCCGGCCGCCGCCGCCCGCCCTGAGGCGCTGCGGCTCCTCGCGCGGCGGTTCGCGGCCCTGCACGCCGCCGTGCCCGGCCTGCCCCTGGCCAGCTCCACCATCCTGCCCGGCATCGTCCTCCGCAGGGACTTCGCTGCTTACTGTCCGGCCGAGGGGGAGCTGCGGGCCCTGCTAGTCACTGAGCCCCTGCAGCCCGCCCTGACGGCCCCCGGCGTCGAGTTTGTTGTCGACTCCGAGGGTCAGTATGAGGCTTCCCTGCGCTGGATCACAAGGAGGACAGAAGCCTTAGTGAAACACTTGCATAGCAACAGCGTTAAGCTGTTACTGTCGAGCACGAAACAAGACGAAGTAGTTATCTATTATGCCCAACTATATGGTGTTTCTGTTGTAGAGTGCTTATTGTCGGAAGAAATGGCCCTTATCAGTGAAATCACCGGCGTCTCGCCTTATGCACCTTTTGGTGATGACATGTACAGGGAAATCACTGAAACTGCGGTGGCATCGTTTTGCCAGCCCTTGCTGCTCGGCTCCAAGAGATGTGTCCACATTGGCTTCACCAGTGTGTGTGCCTTCCAGCCCCATTGCCTGATCCTTTGTGGGCCAGTCGATGGGGTCAATGAGCAACATGCCGCTGCTTTACAAGAGGCCTTCGTTATGCTGCAGCAGCTGTTTAAAACAGTTGATCGGAGGGGGGAATGCAAAGCGGAAGGTGAAAGCCAGAACAAAGCCTCAGATGTTTGCAGTTGGGATTCTTCACCTACTCAGAAACAAATTGTAGTAGAAAATATTTCTTGTAATAGTACCCAGGTTTCTGAATGTCAGCTGAAAGCACTTAGTGATGAAACAGAGACAAAAATTTTAGACCTTGATAAAGGTAGTTCACTGGTGGACAAACAAAAGAGCTACAACACTGCTGTGTTGGCATGTAACGCTGATACAGTGACTGCGTGTGAGCTCCTGGATGTTGGCAAAGATTTAGAGAAAACACGTTGCAATATACTTCCATTTAAACAGGAAGAGAGTTGTGCAGGTATTGCACAGGATCATTCCAGCTCCCTCATAGAAGCAGGATCAGTTTTGCCAGTAGGAGGTTACTTTGAAATCCTTTTACATTATTATATTCAGTACTATGCAAAACAGTGTCAGCAGTCAGAGGTAGCTGTCGTATCTAATGTGGTTGCTGATGCTTTGCTAAGTATTCCTAAGGCCTTATACAGGACAACAGAACTAGACAGCTTTACCAAATTCTATCTCAAAGCTGTTAATTCACTCCAAAAAAATCAACCACTGCCAGGGAACAAGGACGGCTTGGAGTCAGTGTACTGCAAATACCAGTTAGTCATTTCAGTACTTCATTGTGTTACAGAGCTTCTCTCCGTTGACTTAATAATTGGTATTAAGCGGCCAGTGCAAAAAATTGAGGACCATGATTCAGAAGATGACTTTTGAAATCATTAATAAAGAATGGTTTTGATTATGTCTTATGTTCTTATGTCTTCTTGTCAAATGGATGTGTCTCAAAATTCAGTGCTAGAGACTAAAAGATATTTTTTTAAGTCTAGAGATCTACTGTGCTACTTCTTTTAGAAGAAAAGGAAAAAAAGGGCTAACCAGCTGAAGATAGGCTGGGACAGTTTGGGAGAATGTGTTGACTCAGTTTACACACCACAGGGAGTGGTGTGTTTGGGCATGCACTGAGGTTGTAGCAGCCTATGGGTTTTTCTTCATGTACTGTTTCCCAGAGATTATTTCTGTTTTGTGCTGTTATTCTATTATATTTCTAAATATGGGTTGTCCTCCATGCAAAGTGAAAGTCAGGTACACATGGACACATGTTTCGACTGAGATCCAAACTCAAAATATCATGTAAAGTGCAGGCATACTGGTATTAATAGACAAAGATTAAAAGAATGTTTTTTAAAAAAATCTTGATGTTTTAACCCTCCTTTCTACAGCCCTTGGCAAACTTACATTCTGCCCCATGTGAAATGCAGCAGACTATTTTGAAGGTGCTCACCCCAACTGCAAGGAGTGTAGGTGCGTTTTAAGCAAAGTAACCCTATTTGTCAGGTAGCAGATTCACATATAGAGGCAGGTAGTTTCCTTTTTTTTTTTTAATTAAAAACCAGTTTTTAAGATGCATGAGTAGTAATGTGCAATAAGACTAGATTGAAACTGCATGCTGCATGCAACTCTTGAGAATGGGAATGGTCTGTTTTTATTTGTTGGTTTGTGTGGGGGTCGAGTCTGAACAGACTTTTACAGGTGCTGGGATCACACTGAGACAGCCTCCATTCCCCAGCTCTCCTCCAGCTGCCATCCCTGCCGCTGGCCCAGCTGGCTCCCTGCTCTACACCTTCCCTGGTCCTTCTCACTGATCTGGAACAGTATCTCCCTGTTTACCAAATAGGCATTGCTTAGTTTCTGTAGTGAAAGTTATGCAACCTAAGTATGGCCTTACATTTTCATCCATGCTTAGCTGATTGCTGACCTTTAGCGTTTTTGGCAGCTATACAGAGAGCATCGTTAATAGGAACCAGGCACAACAAAGAATATTATTCTGTTGTGTCACAAATCTCACGCTGCTGAATCACGTTTGTAAGAGGAAATAGGGGACTGCAACATTTTGTTTAGGAGCATAACTGTATAGTGGCATATTTTATATTTTTCTGTATATTTTGCATGCAGAAAAATGTATATGGTTTCTGTTGTTATCTTTATAAATCATCTTCCAGAGCCCAAAGGTAGGGCATTAATCACACCATGTGAGAAGATTAAGGAAGATTAAATTCTTCACTAGAATTCTATTCATCTGTTCTAAATTTGCTCTTTGTTATGTGACAAATCTGCTGTTAGTGGTAGAGACTCCTGTTTTGATTTCTGAATTGTTTCTATGCTTGTTTAGGTTAATCCATCCCCTTGCATATTTTTTTTTAGTGAGGTTCTTTTAAATCTCATGCTAAGAGAGAAACTATTTCAATATTCAGTTGCAAAATTCTGTTTACATCTTGATCTTGAGATCTAAGAAACTGTGGTTTTGTCACTAGTGAACACAAATATGAAATACTTGCTCTATTTACTATTGTATTTATCACATTATTGCTTTTAAGACTGAACAAATCAAGAGAGTAATGTCTGAATTTATCACCAGTTGCTTTGGAAATGCATTGACTGTAATAAACGCAATTATAATTTTGCAGCATCATTTTGTGCAAGGTGTCATTTATATTCTGTTAATGAGACTAGAAATAGATGTTTGGATATAGGATTATGTAAATTACTTCCCTCTGAGAATATTAAGCTAATAATTATATCCAGGAATAGAAATTCTAATTTTTTCATTCCAAAACTAAAAATAACGGTAGCAAAAATGTAATAGATGTAATATATAGTAGCTCCTTCTTTATTATATGATTCAGTAAAAGACTAGACTATGTAAGCAGTGTTTATTCCTGTGATAGATCAAGCAGTTCACTCTTTCTAAAAACAGTTCTGTCAAAAAGAATACAATATAGTTTTCCATAGGAACACCATTTGTGCTAGTGCAGCAGACTGTTTATTTCTCACAAAGTCACCAGCAGATAAAAGAACTGTTACACTGAGGCTTTGGTTTAGTGTGGGATTAAGGGCACATCAGTAATGCTGTGTCCTGCATGGCTGTGTCCTAAGCCACCTACAGCAGAAATCACTATAAAAGATAAAATTTCCATTTAAGGTATTTTAAAAAAGGTATTGTTTTACTAAACAGAATCTCTAATCTGTTCTTATTTTGAGATTCCCAGTAAAATAAGACAGAATGGTGATTTTGCTTTTGATAATAATCATGACCTACTTTCAGTGGATGTCTTCATTTTGCGGGCTTAACATCTGATTAAATATTACCTTAAAATGGGAATGCAGAGAGGGAACACATGGTAGGGATTTCTCAGTGTATGTGGCAGAACAGACAGTTCCAGATGAGAGAAATGTCTGCCGAGATTTTAACATTAGACTTGATACATGTCTGATATCATGTATAAGGATTATATTTATATACCACTGCTTTTAGAACACTGAAAGTCATTGTAGAAACAGCTGGATTATATTCGTAGGGCAAACAAACTGCTTGGGAGCTGTTTTCTAAAATCAGAAATACTCTGAGGCCTGTAATTACTGATGCAGTACTAAAAAAGGTACAAAATAGTTACACAATGCTCAAAAAAGTCTGTTATCAGTGTTGACTGTACTGGAGATGTTTATTGGCATAAGTGTTTTTTAAAGTACTGGTGTTAGGAGTATAATCCTGAGGACCAGTGCCCCACAGCAGGGCTTCTGCTGCCATTCCTGTTGGGACTAGGGATAGCTCTGCCCTTGCACTCCAGCAGTCACACCTAAGAGCGGTCCTACTGTGCCTAGCCTAAGCTGTACAGTTCACCTTGCCAGAGTGTTTGTGAATGAATTTCGGCAGCTCAGTAAATCTTGCAAGCTGCGGTGTAGGTAAGTAGGGGGGGTTTTGGCATTTCCCAACTACTGGTGCTTATAATAGAGCAAGTATTGGAAATTGCATTCCCTGTAATTTGAGACCTTTTTGTCACCTTGCAGAATTTTCCAGTGAGACACTTTTTAAGCCTTAGCAGTTATTAGCAAGTATTATCAACATGCTTTTGTTCTAGAACTCCCCTCTATTTCAGAAGTTTGTCCCCTGGGCTATAATCCTAAATGTTGCAGAACTTACATGGCTTGGATTTATGGAGCCAATTTGTAATCATCCAGAAAGCAGGAAATTTTCTCCTCCTGTTTTAGTTGCTTCTATTCTGTGTGACTGTGAAGCTCATGAGACAGTGTAATACAGTAATAACTCCGTGGGTGTGTGGGTGGAGAGGAGGGACAAAGAATAAGAGAAGTCAGGAGATAAGAAGACCCAGTTCAAAAGGAAGAGCAGAGAAAAGATGAAGATTGAATGGTGAATAGAGCATAGAAAAGGACTGTCCTGTAGAAGGAAGAATGTAGAGTCTCAGATACACGAATGGGAAGAAACAGCCCCAGCTTTCACACCTACCTCCCTGGGATGCAGTAGCAAAAGGAAGGCATTAAGTTCTGCTCTCCCCTTGGAAGACTAGCAGAAGATGGTTGCCAAGTGGACAAAAAATCCACAAAACTAATTTTCTCCTGTGCTGATGTAGGAGAGTAGCTACCTTGGAAAGCATTAGGAGCTGTGGAGACAGCCTGTCTGCATATCTCAAGGGAGTCCTGGGCTGCAAACTTGTGACAGCCTGAGATAAGAGATGCACATTTCTGTTTCTGAGGCTCAAAGAGTCTAGGAGTGGATGAGAAATTACTGGGTGTGGATTACATTTGTTTAGATTGCACATCTTGCCCTCACTGTCCCGAGCCTCTGGAATGTGCTTTGATCCCTAGGTAGTTGCAAAGTACAGGCAGGGATCATCAGTAATCCAGTGCTTGGCTCCCCAGCCTCGGTGAGCAGAGGTTCTGGGCTTGAGCTTGTGTGGTGCCTCGTGCCTGGGGAGCACTGAGCCAGTTCATGTTACAGGTCATACTGTGAAAACACAGGGTTGTAATGGGAAGCTGCTGGGTTTACTGCTTTGAAAAGAATTGCATGAACTGTTATTGAAGTTATAAATCATCGCCTGATAAATTTGCCATCTGCTAGGCCTTAGATAATGAATCTAAATTTACTTGTGTTTGAGCAGAGAAAGCCTGTCTAAGACCTTGAAGCTTGTTTTTCATAGTGAATTATAACAGGAGTTCAATGCCATTAACCTCCTTATTGTAGGGAAAAATTAATTTTCTTGTGTAGTTCTGACTTCTCATAAGACTGAACAGTTTCCAGAGAAACAATTATTCTAAAAATTATAGATTACAGCATTTCCAATACCAATCTGTTATTGACAACATCTTGTTTGTTTAATAGCTAGCACTTATGACCATGAAAAAGGTCTATCCCCACTGAAAATAGCACATTTCTGCCTTGCGTACTCAGACTCCAGACCTCTAATCCAAATGTATTCAAGTGATCAGAAGATACTGAACTGACAGGCTACCAGCCCAGTAAAATTAATTGCATAGTACTTTGGAGCAGATGATGATTGATACCAGATTTTTTTTTAATAACAATTCTCATTGTTTTTCCTACAGAAAAAAAATACATGGTTGAAATAAAATGTGTGATCATTTTCTTGCTATTGTATTTAATATATTTGTACTTTAACCATTTTTTCTGTGCTATCTCTAGGGTTTTGTAAATATGATTAATATCTGATTTTAAAAGCTTCATAATGGTTCAGTAACTGCCTGACTTTGGCTGTAACATTTTAACTGCGAAGATCAAATTATAATAAAAACACAGCAAACATCTCTGAGTATCTTGGAAATCTGATACTATGAACCATTGGAGAAAACCAGTGGATTTTGTCTTCCAGAGTTTTATAACAATGTGTACCTGAGATTAGGATTGGGTTCTGAACCAGCAGCACCTGCAAACTGTGTTTAGTATCTCATAAATTATGCAACCTTTTAACAATTGTACCTTTACATTTTGACACTGCTCAGGTTCATAACAAAGTCTGAATCTATAATGCAGAGAAATAAATTTCTCATCATTATTCCCGCTGGATTTCTGTTGTCAGAATGAGTGGGTGTTCACGTCAGAAGTTAGAATAAATGCTAGTGCCTTGAAATGCTGCCTCTACAGCTCCTAATGTTGTTGCACTTGTCATCGTGAGCTTTCTAAAAGCTCCAGTTTTGAAGTTGGAATAAATGTGTTCCACTCATAAAAACACCCACATCTGTAGGAAAAAAATATATGTGTGTGTGTGTGTGTGTGTACCTGTTCTTAGTTTCCATAATATGACAGGTGTTTTCCCTCACTTATTTTCCTCCCTTACACTGTTTTGAAGTGCCATGTGACACTGGCCATTACTTATCTGGTTTTTTTCCTGAAGGTAGAAAGTTGTCATGTTCTGTTAAAATCTTAGATGCAAGAGTTTCTCTTGACTTACTACTTATCTGTTCACATATTTTTAATTGCCCTATTCAAAAATTATGTTTAAGAGTCATTGAATGATTCAATAGAGAACAGCAGATATGAATATTCAATTTAAAGAAAGCAAATGCTGAGGACTTTTCAAACTTTTCACAGTGACAGGCATTTCTTGTAGAAATAACTAACCAACAGTTGATCTTCTGCAGGAATAGCTGTTAAATATCATGGAGTGAAGATGTCAGCTAGAGGAGGAGTCAGAGTTTAAGATCCCGGGATTTTATCATTGCTGGCACTTATTTACTGCAAAGCCTGGAGTAAGTCAGTTATTGCCCATGTGATAATTTTTCATCATGAGATATTAGTGGGCTTCATATTCATAAAGGTTTCAGGCTGTGCTTTAAATCTTTGGGAATTCAAGGATGGATGCAGGTGCAATCATTGTCTGTTAAAAAAAAATTATTGCATTGGATGTCCTCTCAATCTCTCAATTATCTTTTTATAAAATGTGTAAAACTGTTTCTGCCAGGTTTGCAGATATTGTGTATTTTCCTTTACCCATGACTACTGTAGGAAAACTGAGTTGTTAATGAGGAAGCAGGCACCATTGCTGTGTCCCTTTCCCTTCTAATAGAAGACTGACTCCCTCGCATACTAAGGATTTCTGCGTGCAGTACGGTGGCGTGTTTAAAATGAGCCTGTCCCTTTCCCTTGCTGCAGCCCTGTATTTGTTCCTGTGTTTTCCTGAGCCATTGCACATGACTTGAGCTCCAAGCAGCTTGGAACAAGTGATAATCAGGATATGTGGTATAGACCTCATAGCAGTGACTTCCAAAAGGTGTGAAGAGAAGCCCTGGTATCCCTGGCTGACCCAGCCTTCAAGGGCAAGCTGCCTCACTCCTGTAGCTTGCATGGCCTGTGTGTGGTATAATGGTGTCCAGGTCAATTATATGATCTTCTCCATAGTCAAACAACTAGGAGTGTTGCCATACTGCCTGGCACTGGCTCTGTCTCCTAAAAGCAGTGGAGGAGAAGTGTATGGAAAAGCACTGCCTGGGAAGCTCTCTCTTCTTCCTGTGCAGCCTGATTTTTGATTTATTAGTTCCTTAATCCAAGTCCAGATCTAATGTTTAGGGAACAACACATGCCGAATTGTTATCTAGTGTGTCATTTGGTTTGCTGGGAGCCTGGGTTAAGTGTGCATCAGACTATCCATGTAACACTGGATGATTACATTGGAATGAAACGTGTAGAGACAGAGACCATTTAGTGGGTTATACTTGTCACAAAATTCCAATATTTGCTTCTGTGAATCACCAGCACAAGTAAAAATGTCTTGCAATTCTCCTTAGATTGCTAAATTTTAACTTTGTGAAATAGTCCACATTTTGGAAGATTTACTACTGCCATTAAAATAAGTAGTCCAATGCCCATATATTTATATTTATATTATATTATATTATATTTTACTTCTTTCTCCATAGCTATTGGAGACCACATTTTTTAAAAAATGCTAGAAACTTTGTGTTTACACTAAAACAGGTCCAACGCAATGTTTATTTGTAGAGTTACATATGTTAGTTGTGGTCAGGTTGTTACAATGCTCTGACTTTGAACTTTAGCTTCCTCACATACCTTGACAGAGCATCCTAGCAGCAAGGAAAAGGACAGAGAGGCATGACTGTATTAAAAAAGCTGACTAATTACCTTGAAGATTAAACGGGAAAGTCAGAGAGAACTGAATCATACACCATTAGCAACTGAAACCCCAATTTTATGTTAAAACAAAAAAGAGTTCATGCCTATTGTTGCTCATAAAACAAGCAACAGATTTTGATTAAAATCTGACTACTGCTGCAAAGGAGAATCCCAACCACACCAGTGTGTAGATGACATTAAATGTCAGAGTACTGGTGAAGCTGGGAAGCGGGGGAAGCTCTTTTTGGGCTTTGCCATGACCAGGAGGGACAGACTGGTCTCATGCCCTGAGCTGTGCATAGCTGGAAAGCTGCCTTACCTTACTGCCTGCTGAAAGAAGTCACTTGCAGTGATTTGTCTTAATAAATAAAAATCAAATCCAGAGTACAAATGGAAAAGATACAGAGTGTACAGTCCTGGAGCTTGAACTCCCCTTTGCATTTGGTGAAATGAAGACCTCTTTTATTTCCTAAATTCAAGATACTCTACAGAACATGGGTTCCCACAGGATGTTGACTTGAAGGTTTTAGGTTTATGAGGCAAAGGACATTTGGGAAGGTTGATCCTGAACTCAGGAGAGCTTGCATTGACTCCACAAATTTGAATTCAGACTGTAAGTGCTGTGAATGGGAGTCAGGGGTTGGACTGAAGGGGCCTATTTGCATTTGTCTCTGGTTTTATTGAGAGCACCATGCTTATTTATCGAGCCAAGGATATCTACTGTCTGCAAGGCAATGACTCCCAGTTCCCACTGGGATGCCAGAGCTGCAGGAGACAGAACTGGCCATCTTCCAGAGGCAAGCTAACACTCCCCATAACACAGCAGCCTCCCATGCTGAGGCTGGCAATCTTTCTCTGACTGCTGTATGCAGCACTAGAAAACCTTCCAAAGAAGAGAATTGTTAAAAAAGAAACAATGCTTCGTATCAGTAATGAGAACAGATGTTAGCCTCAGATTCCACATCTGCTTCAGGTATCCTGGATACTCTTCAGGGCCTTATGCAAAAGCAGCTTAGGCACCTATATACTAAATAAGCCTGGCTCCCCTCTACCTCTTTTTTACCCCAGATGAAAGGAAACCTCTTTCTTTCACTGGAGGCCCTTCTTTCTGCTCCAGACACCACACGTGAAACCAAGTAAAGGTTGTGCATGCACCGGGCATTGTTGATCTTCTTGAAATGTCACCAAAGGATGATGGAGGAACTAGGAATCCTGAGAAGCTCTGAAGCATTTGTTTGGAAGGTGTCAACCTACAGGTTAAAGGACTGGAGAGACCCTTTGGCTGAGCTAGTAGTCCTGCTGTTATCTTATGGTGCCCTTCTTTCCATCCGCTTCTTTCTTTACTGTTAATATATTTTTGTAAACTCTATGCCAATAGCTCTCACTGAAGCATCTGGTCTCCTCCAGGCTGCTTCTTACTCTTGGTTCCTTCAGTTCTTTGAGGTTGAGAGGAAAACCAGCTCCAAAATATAGAATAACATGGTATTTTTAGTGTTGGACAGGGTTTGGATCTTTAGTGTTTTTAATGCCTGCCTGTCTGTAGATTTTAGGTGTGAGGGATGTGTCCCTTGGAACTGTCTTAGGTGAGTCGGGTCAGAGGGAGCCATGAACTCTCCCAGTTTCTCATGACAGATTTTGGATGTAAGAGATAAGCAGACTACAGGGCTCAGTGTTTCATAGCTGTCTGGGCAGGCTGCCTTTCATTTCACATTAGCTCCCTGTCCGACAGACTGGCACAGCTCTGGTTACAGCTATATCCCTGTTAGGATGGGGTAGGAGGGAGAATAGCTTGTCAGAAATCTGCCCAACCCTCTCTACCAAATGCAAGCCAAGAAAGACTCACTTTCCTGATAACTGCATGGCAGGTGATTGCACATGAATGCACACTGTTAAAATTCCTATCACTGACTGCGTCCACTTTTCTACTTGGTTCACGTACAGCATTTATTTAGTGTTTTTTACTTAATGATGGTTTACTGAAGTTGTCAGTCACAAGAAACAGCAGAGGAGAAAATTCCTATCATAGGAAAGACACAGATTAAAAATAATGTCCCCTCTGGAAGAGGCAGTAGTTGACACTGGAGCATTTCAACTTTCTTCATTTGCTAATGTTGTAAAAGTTGGCAGCTCTTTAAATTGATGACAGCCCTCTAAATTAATCATGGGGTTTGGTTTGTTTTTTTTAAAAAATAAGTTATCCATCAGAATGGCAAAGTATGTTTGGAAAGAAGAACATTGTGTTATTAACTTCATCTAGAAGTTACAGAGAAAAACACAGCCTGACTGTTAATTGTTTTACTTCAATGCCTTTTTCTGATATTGAGAGCTTAGAAGGGCTCAATAGTGATTTCAATTACTTGGGTATAAATCCAGAAAGTGACAGTGGAGTTGGTCCAGATTTACATAAGTACAAATGAAATTTTAAGAAATGTCTGTGTAGTTTCCTTTCAGGCTTTAGATATAATTATCTTAATTAGCCTCTCAATTCAAGGGTCTAATTTCCACCATAGTTAATGAATAGCACTTACTCACACTTACGTGACTGAATTATCTGACTTGAATTATCATTTTTAGGGAATATTCTAAAGGCTCCTATTGAGAAAAATAGCCTCAAAGTTCTCCAAATTTGTTTTTCCAAGTATAAGGACTAAATATAGCATTTGTTCCCCAGAAAATG